CTTGGCTATTATACAATGCTATATTGATTATCTAGTTGTACTGTGAGGGCTGTTCTTAAGTGCCATGTCCCATTAGTTCAGATTTCTAAATTTGCAGATTAACTCTAGCAGCAGGACATATCAATAGGTTTCCTTTTGTAAATACCAACTAGGTAATCCCCCTCAGTATGGTTTATACTTTCAGGAAGCCGTGTGCATTTTTTTTTTTTTTTTAGATATTCATATCAGTGTGGTCTGTTCATTTATAACTCACTTTTCATTTTTGTTAGCAAATATCCTAGGGAAACATTACACTTCAAGAAATTCAAGCAAGAATATAAAACAGAATTCTTATGTTTAATGCTCCTTGAACTAGTAATATTGCTTTGGAGAATTTATCCAAAGGCATTAAACAGACATGTCAAATATTTATACAAAAGGATATTTAGAGTGGTATTATAACAGTGAGAAATTGGAAATAACATAAATGTACAACACTAGGGAAATGGTTAAAATATATAATTATGTTGAAAAAACATGCAACCTTTACAAGTCATATTTTTGAAGAAAACAATGACAGAAGTGTACACAATATAAAGCTAAGTGAAGAAAACAGATAAAAGAGAATAACAGTGATCATCTCTGGATGATACAATTATGGATAGCTTTATTTTCAAATTTGAAATATTTTCAATATTTTAAAATTTTTCTAAAATGAATAAAAATTGCTATTATAATAAAAGAATCATGAAAATCATATGTAGATCAATATATATCTCTAACAAATCCCAGCAAAGCTGGGGCAGTTTTAATACCTAGCTCTGAATAATGAACGTTTGTGTGGTAAGTAAACAGATGAATAGACAGATAAATGAATGAATGACAGTTGACACTTGTAGGTACCATAATTGGGTTTATGTGACTGCAGTAAGAACAAATAAATAATTTTTAATTAAAAGGAGAAGATTTCAGTTCAGCCAATGGTTTGAAGGATGACATGGAGGGTAGTGAGGGAGTCACAAAATAAGTGAATGGCTTACAGCAGCCAAGGAGTTGTGGTCAAGCCTTAGGTCCATTGCTGTTCTTGCTGCCCAGCTATCAACACCATTATTTCATCTTGAAATTTCTCTCATGCCTGCTGATTTCATTGGTCTCTGTTCAGTTTGGCCAGTTACTGAGAGAATGAAGTCAAAGTCACAAGTTCATTTCCCGTTTGAACCATTTACACCTTTTCATATAGAAAAAGATATCCCAAGGCTAACTCCAGCTGGCCAACTCCCAGAGATGGGCTTATTGGTCATGTGGACAAACAGGTGAGTGTGGGTGGATTAGGGAAACCTGCCTCTAACACTTCTGAGACCACCCAAAATGTCCCTGCACAGACAGAGTGCTTTGTGTTCTTATGTTATTGAAAGTAGTCTTCTGCAACTGGTATGCTCTGTATAATGTTAGCTACCTGAGAAGCCAGTATAAAACTCAGTCATGTCACAATTTTTATAGCAAATTCACAATAAGCTGTTCATGGAAATTATACGTGGGACTGATTGACTTACATTTTATCATATAAGGTCTTAATATCTTTTGGCTATTTTGATCAAATTGCTAAACAGAATCTGGCTTTTTTTTTTGCACGTCCATCCAGAGACAACACTGGATGCATGAATGAAATCTAAATGTTTCTTCTCCAGTGCATTCCCTTATCTGTGAAGGGGCCTGCGTCAAAGAAAGCCATTAGACTTTCACATAGCCTTCTGTATCTTTGCCCTTGGTGGCTTTTTAAATGCAGTGTTTTTTATTGCAGTTACTATTAAACCCAAGTGGATGATTATAGTGCCTTGCTTGTATCTGCTCTACCTCGATCCTGCTAAGATATTAGATTTAGTGTTTGTGTTTTTCAACCTGAGTCACCTTTCATCATTCATTTTTAAAAACCTTATTCAGGGATTGAGGAATACACGGCTCTGAACTGTGAGCTTACGTATTTTCAAAATTATTCTTGTCCTGGAGCTCATAATATCTACAGATATGATGGGCTTCCTTAAATTGGCCAGCTGGATGTTTTATTCTTCAGGATTTTTAAGGAACAGGGAGAGAACATCTTCTAAGCACTAACAATGTGCTGTAGTTTATTAGGCATTTTTTACATACACTATCAGAGTTAGTCCTTACTATGATCAAATAAGGTAGGCATTATTACCACAATTTTACAAATGAGGAGACTGCAGCTTTGAAAATTTAAATGGCTGATCATAATTTGAACGCTGGTCTATGGGACTTCAAAGTCTGTGATTTTTTCCATTGCACATACTGACTCCCAGGGATAGCAGGTTTCTTAAATGGAAGATAATAACACCATAATCACCTAGCTTCTCCTCAGCTCCTGGCTTTCTCCTGTAACTAATTTCCATTATACTTTGCTTGTGTTATTTTGTCGAGATCAGTCCTTTGCAGCAAGGCCAAGAAATAAAGCTTTGAACCACTAATAAGGAGGCTAGTCATTTGAGCTGGCTTTCAATTTTGTCCAAAAGCTCAGTTACTGTTTATGTTTTACCTAGTTCCCAATAACTCATAATCCAATCCAAGGGTGTTCCTTATTGCTGGCATAACTGGTCCTTGCTGGGTGCTCAGTATTTCAACACATATTGGCTTCCATCATCCCCTCGAGAGCCAAAGAGTTCTTCAGTTGTAGGAATATAAAACCTATTATGGTGAAGGGCAAGCACAGTCTTCCCCTGGTCCAAAGTGGTGAGCAAAGCAACTGAAAAAAGATCTCACAAAGGAGGATTTATGTATTAGAATAAATTAGTGAGAAACAGGCCATTTGGGCTGAAAGTAAAGGTTGAAGACAGGGAGGAAGGAATTTTTGAGAGTATAGAAATGGAAAAGGATGGTCATTAACCTCTGAACAACTTAGGCAAAACAAGTTGGGAGTTCATCTAAGACTGAAGGGGAATTAAAACCCAAGTGCAAAGCATCCAAGTTCTCAGGCCATCATTTTAGAGATACAGAGAGATTAACCTTCCAAGGCTGTGTTGGTACCAAATCCCAGACAAATTAACACCGTTGAAGTTTCTTCTTCCCACCTTTTGTCTATTCAGCTTTCTAGAGAGATAATCTAGTTTAGGGCCTTAAGTGACAAACTTTTTAGGAATCCACTGTAGACACCAGGAGGTTGAGGAGAGGGTTACGTGGAAGCTCAGGAAGGCTGAGTGTAGTTCCTGGGTTTCTTCCCGACTCTGTTCTTGAATTTTTGCTGCTAGAGTTGCTAAGAGGGAACCTGAGCATAATTCCCAGATTCCAACAGTTATTTTCTGTGCCCACAGAAAGCAGAAAGAGGCACCTGCTCCTCTGCTGGTCTCCTGAGCCATTGTGGAGATAATCTTTTATGCCACTGGGTTTTGGAGATAATCTTTTATGCGACTGGGTTTCTTAGGGAAATGAAAGTTTGGGGATAAATGGAAGAAAGTCAAGGTCTAGGGAGCAAAGTGGGTCCTGTATAGAGTTTGGTAGTGCTTTTCTTGATACCGACCCCCTTTCCCTCTTTCTTCTCTTTCTGTGTCTCAGAATTTGTGGTTCAGCATTGTCATCAGCAAGTAGCTATTATACAAATTAAGTAAGAGGCCAACTGAGAGGAAAGGGCACCACAGAATTTGAAAGATGGTGGATTGGGAGGATTAATAGAAATAATCACAAGTAGGCTATTTCCCAGAGAAACACTGTCTTGAACATCATAATGTGTGGGGAAAGACACATTTTACAATCTAATACAGGTTCCTACATTTTGTGCAAACTCAGTACTTAAAATGTCTGATTTGTATCAGGGGGACAGGATTGCTATAGTAAAGTTAGAAAGAATAGAATCTCAAACATACCAAAAAAGAACAGGACCTCATTTTTTTCTTTTCTTTTCTTTTTTTTTTTAAAATATATTTTATTGATTTTGTACAGAGAGGAAGGGAGAGAGATAGAGAGTTAGAAACATCGATGAGAGAGAGTCATCGATCAGCTGCCTCTTGCACACCCCCTACTGGGGATATGCCCGCAACCAAGGTACATGCCCTTGACCGGAATCGAACCCGGGACCCTTCAGTCCCCAAGCCGACGCTCTATCCATTGAGCCAAACCAGTCCAGGCAGGACCTCATTTTTTTCTAGTGCTGTGCTGTCCAATATTGTAGCCACTAGCCACATGTGGATATTGAGCATTTGAAATATTGCTAGTTTGGATTGAGATGTTCTGTAAAGGTAAAATACACACTAAACTTCAAAGATTTAGTGTGCAAAAAATAATACAACAGTTGTTTTTTTAAAAATAATGATTACATTGAAATAATGTTTTGGCTATATTGGATTAAATAAAACAATATTAATTTCACCTATTTCTTATTTTTTAAACATGTTTAATGTAACTAATAGAACATTTAAAACTACGTATGTGGCTTGCATTATATTTCTATTGAATGGTGTTGCTCTAGTATATTAAAAAATAGGCTTTGACTTTTAAGCATCTTTATAGTAGTACATTTCTTTTTAAAATATATTTTTATTGATTTCAAAGAGAGGAAGGAAGAGAGAGAGATAGAAACACGAATGATGAGAGAGAATCATTGATCGGCTGTCTCCTGCACACCCCTACTGAGGGTCGAGCCCACAACCCAGGCATGTGTCCTAATGGGGAATCAAACCATTACCTCCTGGTTCATGGGTTGATGCTGAATGACTGAGCCAAACCAGCTGGGCACAGTAGTACATTTCTTGCTTTAGGTAAGTATACCTGTACAGGAGAAACAGACTTATTGCAAGAGAAGGACACAGGAATGGAGATTTGCAAGTGGGGAAACTGATTATAGAAGAAAGTCCACAATGTGCCTCAGTTACCTCTCAGTCTGGGGTGAGGGGGTGTGGGTGATGATCAATTGCCTGAAATAAGTTCTTTTATTCCCCTATCTCCATCTGATCTTCTGGTTGGGACCAAGAGAGAGGAGGGAAAGGGCATTTTGAAACTTCTTTCCCCTTACCATCTTAGCCATCAAGCTGTGGGTGGGAGATAGTGTCAATATGACAGGAGCTTTCCCTCGACACGTCTGGGCCACCATCCCTGGCCAAGAGAAGGAGGAGGAATGAAGTGAGCCCCTTCTTCACTCCCAGGGCCATCTGGTAGAGCTGCTGCCGCACCTCCTTCTGCCAATAGGCATAAATGAGTGGGTTGAGCAGGGAGTTGCCCACACCAAGCAGCCACAGGTACCGTTCCAGTACTAAATAGAGGTGGCACTCTTTGCAGGCCACCTGCACAATGCCAGTGATAAGGAATGGGGTCCAGGACAGAGTGAAGCTCCCAATGAGAACAGCCACAGTGCGCACAGCCTTGAAGTCACTGGGAGTCCGTGGGGGCCGGTAAGCTCCAGCCGTGGCGCCTGCATGTTCCATCTTCCGGATCTGTTGGCTGTGCGTAGAGGCAATCTTGAGCATGTCGCAGTAGAAGAAGACAAAAAGGAGCAGGGCTGGGAAGAAGCCAGCGCAGGAGAGAGTCAGCACAAAGCGTGGGTGAAACACAGCAAAGAAGCTGCAGGGCTCCTGGTAGGTGGTCTGCTGGAATATGGGGACTCCAAATGGGAGGAAGCCAATGATGTAAGACACCAACCACAGCCCAGCAATGCAGGCTCCAGCCACAAACCCATTCATGATCTGAAAGTAGCGGAGAGGCTGCTTGATGGCAAGGTACCTGTCAGAGGCAATCAGCATGACTGTGAGGACAGAGGCAGCTGCGGAGGAAGTGACAAATGCCATCCGAAGAGTGCACAGGGTCTTCTTGGTGGGCCGAGCTGGGTTGGAGAGCTGGTCAGTGACGAGACCAGAAATTGCCACGCCAAGCAAGGTGTCAGCCACAGCCAGATTCAAGGTGAAGCAGAGACTGACACCATCATTCCTGTGGATCAGCAACAGCTCAGCCACGGCCACTAGTGCATTAGCAGCAATGATGAGGGAGGCCAGGACAGCAAGGATCACTCCAAATGGGAAAGATGACTCCATGTCTGGAAGTGGCAGGATTTCCACTTACCAAGGCATGCTGGCTTGCCAGATCAATTTTTCATGGGCTGGAGGAGAAACAGCTGTGAATTCAGAGCTGCAGCACCATTCTGGCCATCACTGGCAGTCCAGGCTGGCAGCTTGTCATCCTTGGGATCCTGCTGGTTATTAAGAATCACTCACCCTTCCCTTTTCAGTCCTCAGCCTCTTGCTTCTCCAGCTCTCTGAAGGCAGCAATCCCTGTGCAGACCTCCCCCTGGGCCCTGAGCTAGTCCCTCCCCTTCCAACAACCAAGTTACTAGACAACTTGAAAGTACCTGGTGCACACTCTCACCAGGCTCTCTCTCCTTTCATTGATGCTTCACAGACTTTGGAGGGACTGGAGCATTCAGCTGATCTCCTGTTTGGCAGTTGATACGATTGACTAACCACACCTTTTCTTCCTCCACAGTTTGAAGTTAAATTTCCACTTCTTTTCTTCCTCAGCCTCAAGCTTAACAACTGATTTCATCTTAATCAAGCATTTGCTCAATAACTAATTCTCAGTTACAATAATGACTGCTTTTAATGAAGCAAGATGATTATAATCAGTTGATGTGGGCAGTGAGGGCAAGCAAGCTATTTCAGGGCCCAACACACTTCCAGGGGATTAATCGTACATTTAAGTTTTTTCTTATCTTTTGCTTCCTAATACCTCAGATTCTAATTTTCTCAAACAAGGTGTGCTGTTTCCTTCTTTCTCATCCCTCGGAATTCAGTCAGTTTGGGATTTAGAAGGGAGAGAAAAATCAAGCTGAGAACTGTAAATAACCTTCATTTCATTTAGAATAGAGCCCATCCCTGTCTAAGGCTGTGTCTGTGAGATATACACACTGGGAAATTTTCTGCACCGTGCAAGGCAGGCCACGTTTTTGGTCATGAGCAGTAGCTGCCAGCCTTGCCTTTTTATCTTGTAACCTTGCCTTTCTTTAACAATTGTTTAAAATAGATTTTTTATTGATTTCAGAGAGAAAGGGAGAGGGAAGGAGATAGAAACATCAATGATGAGAGGGAATTATTGATTGGCTGCCTCCTGCCCACTCCACACTGGAGATTCAGCCCACAACACAGGCAAATGCCCTGACAGAGAATCAAACCGTGACCTCTTGATTCATAGGTTGACCCTCAACCACTGAGCCACACCAGCTGGGGCTAACCTTACCTTTCTTGATCTTTGTCTTTCTTGATCCTGTAGACCTAAGATATATCTGGGACAGGAGAAGAGGAAGTGGACTGCATTCTAGAAAGTGTCTGCTCTAATGTTTGTGGAATTTTCCATTTTCCAGGGATAGAGGTAGGTCAAAGAGTGATAGTGTTGTTGAGGCAGGTGAGATAGGCTCAGGAAGGGCAGCTGTGTAGGTCACTCCTATTTTACCGTAGGTTGTATATCCATTTGCTCAGGTACATTAGAACTAACCTTTTGCCTGCTGCTCTCTTCTTGGATACCAAGAAGAGAGGGGTGGGGAGAAGAGTTGTTAGAAGCTTATTTACACAGTTCAGGTGACAGCACAAATGGAAAAGGTTATTTTAAGTGAGGGAGTGGAGCAAGGTGCAGAGTTGGAGGCAAATATAGTCAGATGTTTTGACAGACTGAGTGGGCCTTAGGCAGATGTTTTTCCTACAAAGGATCAGAAAGGCTGTGGCGTGGGGACTTGGTATTTCAGTTGCCAGCCTGAGAACTGTTCTTATTCTTTGTTACATCCATTAGGTGGCTGATTTCAGTTGCTTGGCACCTGGCCTAATTTTATACGTGGATCTAAGGTGTGCTTGTTTCCCCAGCCCTAGACTCCATTAATGGAGTCAAGATGGTCCAATATGCTCAAACTTGAGAGTGCATCAGAATCCCTTATGGGGTTTGGGCGTCATTCCCAGAATTTGGGATTAATTAGGTCTGTGGTAGGCCTGAGAATCTGCATTTCTAACAACTTCCCGGGTGATGCTGCTGCTGCTGCTGGTTCAGAACCACTTTGAGAACCACTGCTCTAATGAAATGTGGTTCATTTCCCCCCATTTTTAAAATTAAGTTATTATATGTGTACATATTCTGCCATTGCCCCCCCACCCCCTCCCATACATGCCCTCACTCCCCAAAGTTTTGTGTCCATTGGTTATGCTTATATGCATGCATACAAGTCTTTTGGTTGATCTCTTTCTCCCCCACCTCTCCCTAACCTTCCCGATGTAATTTGACAGTCTGTTTGATGCTTTACTGCCTCTGTATACGGAATATATTTTTGTTCATCAGTTTATAATGTTCTTTATTATCCACAAATGAGTGAGATCATGTGGTATTTTTCTTTCATTGACTGGCTTATTTCACTTAGCATAATGTTCTCCAATTCCATCCAGGTTATTGCAAATGATAAGAATTCCTTCTTTTTGTGGCAGCATAGTATTCCATTGTGTAAATGCACCATAGTTTTCTGATCCAGTCATCTGCTGATGGGAACCTAAGCTGTTTCCAAATCTTAGCTATTGTAAATTGTGCTGCTATGAACATAGGAGTGCATATATCCTTCTGATTGGTGTTTCTAGTTTCTTAGGATATATTCCTAGGAATGGGATTACTGGGTCAAATGGGAGTTCCATTTTTAGTTTTTTGAGTAAATTCCATATTGTTCTCCACAGTGGTTGCACCAGTCTGCATTCCCACCAGCACTGCACGAGGGTTCCTTTTCCTCCACATCCTCACCAAGACTTGTCATTTGTTGATTTGTTGATAATAGCCATTCTGACAGGTGTGAGATGGTACTGCACTGTCGTTTTGATTTGCATCTTTTGGATAATTAGTGACTTTGAGCATGTTTTCATGTGTCTCTTGGCCTTCCTTCTGTCTTCTTTCAAAAAGTATCTATTTAGGTCCGTTGCCCTCCTCCCCCCCCCCCCCTTTTTGGATCATTTATCTTCCTTTTATTAAGTTGTATAAGTTTCCTGTAGATGTTGAGGATTAAACCTTTATCAATGATAACATTTGCAAATATGTTCTTCCATACAGTGGGCTTTCTTGTTGTTTTGTTGATGCTTTCTTTTGCTGTGAAATGATTCTTAACCTTAGCTGTGTAGTGAATGGAATTACTTGGTAATTCCAAAACAACTGACATTGGGGCCATATACCAAGAGGTTCTACTTTCATTAGTTTTGGATATGACCAATGCTTCTGGAGTCTCAAAAGTTTCTCAGGTGATTCACATATTCAGGCATAGGTGAGATCTACTGTCCAATGGCAAAAACACATGCTTTGGAGTCAGAACACCAGGGGACTGGTCTGATACTATCTGTGATTTTGCTTGGCCAAATAACTTCACCTCTCTGACTTAGATTTGATTGGCTCATATGTATCATTGGAGCAATAATAGCTACATGACAGGGTTGTGGGGATGATAAAATGAGTATGATGGACGTGAAAGGGCTTCATAAACTGTAAAATGTTACATAGGTATTTTTATAGCATGTTTTCCAGTCTCTTATTAATCAAAGTATTTATCAAATTAAATATTGGTATGACGAGATCTTGATAGAAATACAGAATTTTAGGTCCTACCCAAGACCTACTAAAGCAGAGCTTCCATTTAAATAAGAGTTCCAGGTGATTTATATGCACATTAAGGTTGTACTTTTCTCTTTCTCACAGTCAGATGCCTGGTTGCATTAGTTTTCTCTCATGCAATAAATTGCTGTGAACTTAGTAGGTTAAACAACACAAATTTATTTAAATTCTCCAGGTCAGAAGTCCAAAAAGGGTCTTAAGGGGCTCAACTCAAGGTGTTGGCAAGGCTGCATTCCTTTTAAGGGGAGGATAACTGGCTTGCTTTTTCAACTTTTAGATGCTTGGTACATTCCTTGACTCATGGTACATCTCTTTAATCTCTGATTCTTTAATCACAACTCCTTCTCTGACTCTGATCCTCCTTCCTCTCTCTTTAAAGACCCTTGTGGATACATCAAGTCTTCCTGGATAATCCATATCTTCCCCATCTCAAGACCCTTAACCTAAAATACCTTTTGCCATGTTAAGTAAAATATTCACAGGTTCTGGGTATTAGAACATGCACATCTTTGAGGGGGGAGCATTATTCTACCTACCATATCAGTATTCTCTGCTGCCAGGTCTCTTCTCCCTCCACCCCATAACAGATGATTTTCTCATTCTGCTATTTCTTTGCCCATACCCTAAACATTTATTTCTTTTCCTTTAACCATAAACATATCCCTGGATCTGTCTTGTCCTCTCAGGAACCCACAAGCTGATTCAAACTAGCATAGGCAACCTTGTAAAATACTGAGCTCCCTGTCATTGGGAATATGCAAGCAGAGGCTGTACGCTCATCTTCCTGGAGGGCCTTAGATGGAATTCCTACAGTGGTGCGAAACATCATTACTCTCATTGAGTTGTCTTTCAGTCCCTACACAATCTGTTTTTTTATGGGTCCCTGGAGTCTTTTCTCTCCCTCAGCTCCCTCCCTTCTCTCTTAGCTACCTCCACTTCTATATCAGCCTCGGTCTTTTATACCCCTTTTCTGACACTACCACATGGTCTCAACTGTGGATCCTAGGTGTGTGCCCATGCAGTGAGGTCAAGACCACAGAGAATGTGGTTCCTTCTTGGGAGGTTGGTAGCTGGAGCTTATAGTCCTGCTCCACTGGAGTAGGCTGAGGGCTTTCACGGTCTCTGGAATGGAGTGTCAACAAGGGAAACAAACGGGAGGTTGATAAAGGGAAGGAAGAAAAAGGATGAGAGGGTTTATTCTCTGGTCAAACTATCCCATAATGAATGCATTTAAGGCTGGTCATACTGGATTGTCACTAAGCATGCAAAAGGATACTTCATTCACTCTGAGGGCATGGGGCTGAGGACCAGAGGTTTTGGCTGGAATGGGAAAGGAGGAAACACCTGGCTTCAACACAGCTCACCTTCAGAGCCAGGCCCCTCGAAAAGGAGCTCTAGGAAGATATCCAAGTCAAGT